ACCACAATTCTGGCACTTATTCCAAAAAAGAATGAAGCTATAGAGATGAAAGATTATCGTCCCATATCATGCTGCAATGTGATGTATAAGGTAATATCGAAAATTCTTGCTAACAGATTGAAGAAAATTCTCCCTGCATCAATAGCCCCAAACCAGTCTGCGTTTATTAAGGATCGTCTTATGATGGAAAATCTGTTGTTAGCTTCAGAATTAGTCAAGGATTACCATAAAGCTTCAGTCTCTAAAAGGTGTGCTGTTAAGATCGACATATCAAAGGCTTTTGATACGGTGCAATGGCCTTTCTTGCTGACGGCTCTAAGAGCCATGAATCTTCCGGAAAGTTTTATTCACTGGATTGAGCTCTGTATTGGCACTGCTTCGTTCTCTGTTCAAGTCAATGGGGAGTTGGCTGGGTTTTTTCAAAGCAAAAGGGGTTTAAGACAAGGATGCTCTCTTTCTCCATATCTTTTCGTCATTTGCATGAACGCTCTCTCTAGAATGCTGGATAAAGCGGCAGTGGATCAGAAAATTGGTTACCATCCTCGGTGTAAAAGCATGGGACTAACTCACTTGTGCTTTGCGGATGATATTTTGGTTTTTTCAGATGGGAGTGTACGATCAATAGCGGGTATTCTACAAGTTTTTAATAAGTTTGCAGATGCCTCGGGACTCAGAATCAGCCTAGAGAAATCAACCCTGTTCATGGCTGGTTTCTCATCTACTCATAAAGAAGATATACTCCAGCGTTTTCCATTTGAAATGGGAACTCTTCCAGTGCGGTATCTCGGTCTCCCTCTTCTCACTAAAAGTATGACTCGATCCGATTATCTACCCCTCATTGAGAAAATAAGAAATCGCATCACCTCTTGGACGGGTCGGTTCTTATCTTTCGCGGGTAGACTACAACTGATCAAATTTGTCCTATCAAGCATCACTAACTTTTGGCTCTCAGCTTTTAGGCTGCCAAGTAAGTGTATTAAAGAACTTGAAAGTCTTTTCTCTGCTTTTTTGTGGTCTGGTGTAGAACTCAACTCAAGGAAGGCAAAAGTGGCATGGTTGGATGTTTGTAAGCCAATTAAGGAAGGTGGGCTGGGACTAAGACCGATATCAGAAGCAAACACGGTGAGTATTTTGAAACTTGTTTGGCGGCTTGTCTCCGCTAAGGACTCTCTTTGGGTCAGTTGGGTTCACGCAAATTTGTTACGAAATGGGTCCTTTTGGTCAGTTCGACAAACAAGTACTTCAGGTTCATGGATGTGGAGGAAAATATTGAAATATCGGGATAAAGCCAAACCTCTACATAAGATGGAGGTAAGGTCAGGTCTGGCTACTTCCTTTTGGCATGATAATTGGTGTTCTCTTGGGAGATTGGCTGATGTTTTAGGTCCCCGGGGATGTATCGATATGGGTATTGCCACGAACTGCTCAGTTGCTGCAGCCCTCTCAAATCACCGCCGACGCAGACACCGAAATGAAATGCTAAACCGAGTTGAGGATGAGTTGGATTCCCTCCGATCATATTCTCTAGCGGGTAAGGATATTTCACTATGGAAAAGGAACAATGGCTCTTTCAAGGGAACGTTCATTTCAAAGGACACTTGGTATACGATACGAGACACTAATCAGGTGTGTGAATGGTATAAGGGTGTATGGTTCCCCCACTCAACGCCTAAGTACTCATTCATCACTTGGATCGCCATTCGTAATCGTTTAGCTACGGGAGATAGACTGTTACAGTGGGATGCTGCAGCAAATGGTGATTGTAATTTGTGTGATGGGAACATAGAAAAAAAAGAACACCTCTTTTTCTCCTGTCTGTATTCGTCTCACGTCTGGTCAGCCCTCACACGAGACATGCTTGGGCAACACTACACAACACGATGGGAAACTCTGCTTCCTTTACTCATGGCTCCATCTACCTCAAAGCTACATTTGTTTGTTTTGAGATATGTGTTTCAGATATCTATCCACAGTCTATGGCGAGAACGGAATGGGAGACGACACGGCGAGTCACCAACCCCAGCATCCATGCTAGCAAAACTGATCGACAAGAACATTCGTAACCGGCTGAGCACCTTAATTACGACGGGCTCACACACTTATGAAGGCGGACTGCGATATTGGTTCCAAACCCATAGTCGCTAGTTTTCCCTTCTTTATAATCCCTCTCAAAAACTCAGATTTTTTCAGCTTGATGTTGCATTTATTGTAAAACCGTCTTTTTTTGGTGAATAAATTTTACATTCATACAAAAAAAAAAAAAAAGAAACACGACTCAACTCAGGGACTTTTTTGAATTCCAACAACTCTTCTATCGTATGGATCCAGTCCAAAATTTCTTCGGGTTGCAGAGCACTGTTAAATTCCGGCAAATCAAGCTTGAAGCCTGACTCCCATCGACAATTCTCAGCTTGTGGAGCTGCGATAATGTCACGATTACGGTTATCATGACGTCCATGCTGCTCAGCAAGCGGCGCAAATTGGTTTTTGAAAACTTCATCTTTTTCATCCTCTTCAAAGATCTGTTCTTCATGAAGTCGATACACTCTGTTTGCTTGACCCAATGCTCGTATTGCTGTCTCGATAGAGGTACGCATCGTATCAGTCATCGCTTGTTGAAACTCCGTCAACGTAGCACGAAACGCAGTGTTTTGGTCATCGAGTTGCTGTTGAAGACTCTTCTTTAGAGGCATGATTAGGACCTGTTTGTCTCTGATACCAACTTATGTAGTGGGATAGTAACAAGACAAGGTTTCAAGAATCAATGGATCAATAAACTCTGTTTTGTTGCTCTGAATTCTTTTATAAACAGGGAGAACTCGAAGACTTCTGTTTCGAAGAAAATCTCTTCTCTTATTCAATCAAAAACCGAGTCTCTAAAGAGACAATACAAAGCCTTATATAAGCTAAGTCACAACCAACCTTAGCATTAGTAAAACCCTATTAGAAAAGTAAAGTATAGTTTAACATAGAAATGGAAATCAAATCAGACAAGGAAAACTGAAACAATGAGAATAACTTGAGCTAGAAGTAATGAGGATGACGCTACATCAGGTAATGAAGAAACAATGAAACGTTGGGCATGATTGGTTCCGGCTGTAGATTTAGATTTTTGACTGTAGATTTTAGGCTGTAGATGTTTTGGCTGTGACTATAGATTTTAGTGCTGTAGTAATTTTGCTGTACTAGGATATGACCCGCGGTACACCGCGGGTTAATTATTTGATTTTTTTTTATTCTTTTTATAAACTAATGAATTTGTTGTGTATAATATTTCCTGTTGTATCGCGGATCATATGCGTTGTATCTAAAAAATAAAAAATTTAAGTTGTATTTATTTTGTTTAGTGTTTAAGATTGTATAATTGTATTTTGATTTGTTAATTCTAGGATTTCACCCGTGGTATATTTTCCCATATTAATATCGACCCAAACCCATCCCACCATATAATTCCGTTCTGTGAAATTAAACATCATTGTGTTATTTTTTTAATAACACTTTTATTTAAAAGACATATAATTCGAATCAATTTAAAAGTTTGCTTTCAAATGGTTTTCATAATATATATATATATATAAATATATATATATTTTTTTAATTATGTGTTTTAGGACCAACCCGTAAAAATAATTTACAATTGTATTTTGATTTGTTAATTTTAGGATTTCACCCGTGGTATACTCTCCCGTTTTAGATAATTTTAGAAATTAAGAAAAGATCCGAATGACTCAATTTCGGGTCAGAATAAAAAAAAACGATCTGATTAATTGCGCAATTTGTTTTTCAAAAATGTTAATATAAATTGCAAACATACTTTTTTTCTTCATCAACTGAGTAATATATGTCCGTTTAAAAATAATTTGAATCATAACATATGCAGAAAAAACTAAAATTTACTATATGTATATATTATAATAATTCAAAATAATTTAAATATAACATCAAATAAAAGTGAAATGAGAATCATATATTTATGTTTAAAATCCGGGTCAAAATTAAAAAAAAAAAAAAAACAAAACTGACCCAGAAAAAGAGCAAATATGTACTTTAGATTGTACATATTTTTTTTTCTTTATTGATTGAGTAATATATTTCCGTTTTAAAAAATTTGAAACATAGCATATGTAGAAAAAAATATAAAATTTTATTAACTATATATATTTTATAATAATTCAAAATAATATAAATATAAATCAAATAAAAGTGAAATGAGAATCATATATTTTTGTTTAAATTAGGTAGAGAAGTTTTAAGAAATTAGCTCAAATTTGTTATATTAGCATTAAATCATCATATTTGGTTTCCTTATATATAAAAATAAGAAAGAATATGCCATAAATAAAGAGTTTAGGTGTAGTCATTAGTTGAGAAAATGTATATTTTTAGAATTTATTAATTAATTTCGTTTTTGAATTTTGCCAAAAATAAAGAAAGATCCGATTGAAGATTTCCGGGTCAAAATCACAAAAAAAATCCGACCCAAGTGGAAAGAGCAAATTTGTACTTCAAAAATGTTAAGTAGATAATTTAAAATTTTGGAAAGTTAAAAATTGTGTTTTAGAAAAAAAAAAACTTTCTACAGCCAAAAAAATGAATTATGGAAATATTTTGGCTGTGAGAAAAAAAAGGAAAGGTAAAGCTTCTAAAGCTTGATTGGATCTATTTCAATGCTTTAGAAAATTTTTTGCTTTGTAAAGACTCTAAAGCACTTACCAATCATGCCCGTTGTGTTTCATTATTAGGTCGTCAAATTAATTTCTTAAATTATAGGGTCTTTTTTGTTATTTTGTGAAAATCAAATATCCTTCTTTCAACATTCTGAATGACTACCGACTAGCTAGGGTCTTTTTTTTTGTTATTTTGTTAAGGTCACCGTTTCAAAAATAATTTAGGGAAAGTTAAATGTTCTTCTTGCAAAATTAGGTTTAGACTTAATAAAAGTCAAATATTATTAACCCTATGCGATATGAGGAGACCAAGCGTTTCGTATTCCTCTAGTCTAAAACTTGGAAGCTTTTAAACTTGTGGCTGTCTCTTTCTTTCTACCTCACTCTGAGAGGTAAGTAAATAGTTAAACTATTTTGATAGTTCTACTTCTTTATTCTCTTGACTTTGTTCGTATTCACAGTGGAATCTTAATACTTATATTGGTTTGGTTTCTCTTGATTGTTATTTGATTTTATTCGATTTATGAAAGTCTTTGTGTGTAGGAGTCATCATCAAAATCAATGGGGAAGCAAGTTGATAATAAGACGATTACTTGGGTGATTAAAAATTTCTCCTCTTTGCCATCTGCATCAATTCAATCTGATCAATTCGTTGTTGGTGGTTGCCAATGGTAAGAAAAGAAATTGTTTTGTAATGTTTTCCGTAGAGTTTAGGTTTAGCTGATTGTTTTTTCTTTGCATTTTGTTTGCAGGTGTCTTCGGGCCTATCCCAAGGGAAATAATTTGGCTCTCTATTTAATCGTTGCTAATAATGAATCTTTCCCTATTGGATGGAGAAGACACGCAAAATTTTCTTTTACTTTAGTAAATCAAAAATCAGAAAATCTCTCCATACTAAGAACAGGTTATTGTTCTCTATGCTTATTATTTTATGGTTTATGTTAGTTGTAAACATAAACCAATTTTCGTAAATCAATTTTCGGACCAACTCTCCCAACTAAACTGTTATTGTTTTCGCTTGCTACTTAAGAAGTGTTATTTTTTTTTATGGAGCTTGCTACTTAATAGTTTATCTTAGTTTTATGCTTCTGTGTAAGTTATCAACATTAACATTAAAAGAAATTTTCAATTTGTTAGTGTTAGTGTACCTCCTGTCTTATTGACAATTTGTTTGTTTTTAACTTAAAAATGTAACTAATGAGATGATTTTTTTTTTGTGATTTTGCAGAATCACAACACTGGTTTGATCAGAAGTCTACTAGCTGGGGGTTTCAAGACATGATTCCCCTCTCTGAACTTCATACCAAAGAGGGATTTCTGGTGAATGGAGAACTCATTGTTGTTGCCAGGATAGATGTTCTTGAAGTTGTAGGAAAATTAGATGTTTCACAGGTATCTTCATCAGTACTGGAAACCGTAGATGTCAATGGGTTTCAAGTTCTTCCTTCACAGGTAAGAAATTTTGAATAATTATATAGCACTTTATGTTATGTAGTAGAAATCCCAGGTATTCTAACGAATATGAAAAATACTTCTTACAAAAAGTATGAAAAAAACAAGTAACTAGTCTCTCAGTATATAGTTCAGTTTCTTCAAATATACTAGTTTCAGATATGCTTTATACATCCTTTCCACTCGCACGTAGAATCAGTGAATCGTTTGTTCGAAAAACACCTAGATATTGCATCAAAATTTCGTCCAAAGAATCCATATATGAAGACGGCGTACATGAATGTCCTTATAAGCTTAACCAAGACGCTGTGCCAATCGCCTCAAGATCTCTCCAATGAGGATATGTCTGGTGCAGGCGCTGCATTGACATATTTGAGAGAAGCAGGGTTTAAGTTGGATTGGTTGGAAAAGAAACTTGGTGAATTAAAGGAAAAGAAGAAGAAAGAAGAGACGTCTTTGAAACGGCTGCAAGAAATGGAGGAACAGCTTACACCGTTGAAGCGGAAGTACTTAGATCTAGAAGCTCAGATAGATAAGGAGAAGGCAGAGTTGTTGGCAGCTCGAGCTCCTCTCTCCTCGAATGAAGACAATGTCGTCTGATATTGACTTGAGAGTTCTTATTTGTTTGTGTTCTTTGATATTTAGGTTCTGCTTGGTGTTCTTATTTTTTTGCTTGCGTCTTGATTTCGAAATGAGAACACTCTTAATTTGGAAACGTTTTGCAGTTGAGGGATCTCTAGGTAGCTTGACTATGATGCCTATATCATCCGTCGGATCATATATTGATTCGTTATCATGGAAAAGTATTACATCCCAAAGCTTTTTGCTCAAGCCTTAACTAAGAACTTGAACATCTGGTTTCTCTTCTTCATTCAACAGTTGGAATTTAAGAAATAAAAAGTAGAGAGTCAATTAACTTTTATTCATGCTGATTATGCATATGAAGATGTTTGGAGATATTGATGATGAAACAATAAACGTCAATGGGTTTCAGGTTCCTTGGTAAGTAGTAAATAATTTAAACCTAATTTGTGCCAGTTGCCTTATGAGCTAACTGATGAAGACTTGTATGAACCAGAATACGCTTTTTTTTTATCTGAAAGATTAAAGATGAATCTTGGGAGGGTTTTAGTTGGATTGATTAAAGATGAAGCTTGTGAAGGTTTACGTGAAAAGGAAGCAAGAGCGAGACAGAAGATTGTTAAGGTTTACTTGTATCATAAGTTTCCACGTTTTGCAGAAAAGTATTTTGCCGTTTCTTTAATTGCCCTATGTTTCTTGAAGAAAACCTAATAAATTTTGTGTCTGAACAAGTAGTGACACACGAAGACTCACGGTCAAAATAGCATGTTGATGACGTTGACACCAATAATATTGTTGAATCTCACCAAATGCTTTGATACGATCAGACGAATCATAAATAGAGGAGCCACGAGTTCTTGTGTATGTATGTGAAAGAAAAAAAATGAAGTTGAAGATAAGAAGAAGAAATCATGTAACTAGTTTTAGGAAGTTAGAGAGAAAGGAAGTAATCTTATTCAGTTTTAAGAATTAATTAGGTTTCCTTTTTATTGGTTAAAGAGATTAGGAAATTTTCTTTTCTCAATTATGTTAAACTTTTAGCTATAACTATATGTAATATTTAGAGAGCTAACGATTCAATGTAGAGGTTAAATCTCAACTAAGTATTGCCTTTATTCGGTTTCCCTTTTTTCATGATCCTGCAGTTAGAACCCTAGAAGCTTTGGTCGTAACAATGTCAAAGATAGTGGAGAGCAAATCAACAGTAGAGAGTAAATCGATAGTTTCTCATCCTGGTACTGCATATGATGAGGATTGGGACAATGATGAAATCGTGAGCATAAACGGGTTTTGGATTTTCCGATCACAGGTAAGTAAATATATCAATCAACTTTGATTACATATGTTTCTATGGACAATAGTATATGGTTTGGTTTCCATTACTTTTGTTTACAGTTAGATCTAGCGAAACGAATCTTTGAGAAACATCCAGAGACGGCATCAAATTTTTGTCTAAAGAGTGAATTTGCCAAGGAAACATACTTGACTGCGTTACTAGATCTCATCGACATGATGAACATGTTACCTCAGCAATCACTCTTTGAAGCCGAACTAAAAGAAGCACAAAACACAATTTTGGACCTGGAAGCCGCCGGTTTCAAATTGGATTGGTTGAAAAGGAACCTTGAGGAGATTCGTTTTACTAAGAAGAAAGTGAAGGACCGCACGGCTCGGATGAGAGAACTAGACCGAAAGATCCAGAAGCATTTGGAGGAGTTGTCAGTCCTTCAAGAAGAAATGAAGAAGGAGCAGTTTGAGGCTATGTGTGACAAACCTGAATATCATTTAGACTCACTTGTTTGAATGAAGTCATATGTGATTCTAGTGAACCAAGTACCAAATAAACTTGTAAACACAAAGGCAAAGAGTTTATTGCTTTTAAGCCTTACTTGTTTCAGAAGATTCCATTAGCTTCAAGGGTTTTCTTTTTCTCTCAACTTCTATAAAGAGAGGGCTTACATATCTTACAAGTATAGTTGTATTGTCTTGCCTTTATACACATATATTTTCTTTTTCTATTTTTGATCTTGGATCTTGATCAAAGAGGTAAAAAAATTATAAAAGTTTTGATTACTTCGGCGATGAGGCACAACTTCTGTGAACAGAACACTCTCCATGTGTAAAATGGTGAACGAAATATATCAATTTGATTATTTTATTTTCTCTAATCCGGCTACAACTGGTAATACTGCATTAAGTTACAGAATAATTGAATAAACTTAAGATTAAATCAAACTGAATCATACAAAAAAATAATATGCAAAATGGAAAATCGAGAAATGAAATAAACTACAAACTACCCATTTTTCTGTTTAGTTAATTTGTATTTGCATTGGCTTTATATGTAACACCTAGAATGATGTTTTATTTCGTAATTCTACAAGTGTTTTATTAATCAAAACCTTTTTTTTTTTGAGGCAAAACGTATGATTTCAAGATTTACTTTTTTCTTAAAAAGTAGAAGTAAATAATTCATTAACCAAATAAGTGGGTATTTAGTAGTTTTTTTTTTTAGTCATAATGATCTGTATATTACATTCAAACTGCATCATTCATCAATGGAGAATCCAAGGAGGAGAGCCAAGTACAAAGAACAACAACATATACAAACTGTCAAGCATAAGTATCATACATCACATTCTAAAACTTCAAAGCAGCAACAAAATGGTAACTTGGTATTAGCAAAAGCATAATGACTCTCAATAGGACCAAATATTAAAGCTTCAGAGCTTGCAATTGATCTTATTGCATCCACCATAAGCTTGCATTATGATTGCTTCTTGTTCACCATCTTCATACAAACCATGATTAGTAGTAGAAAGTTGTCAAAAAGTTACTGAAGGTCTTCCAACCTTTGAAACTGAAGCTTCACTCAGTGGCGGAGCCAGAAATTTTGTTTATAGGGGTCATAAAACATTTAAAAAATTAGGCCTAAAAAAATTTTTTTATTATAAATATATGTATATATATAATTTTTAAACCTAAATATTTCATATTTCATCTTTCAAATTAAAAATATTCACAGTTTATCTTCTTTAGTTGTATCATCAAAACTTTTTTTTAGTTGTTTTTTTTTTTAATCTTGATTCATGACTTTTAGGAAAAAAAATTCTAAGAACAATGTTGAAAAGAATGTAGAAATTAAAACAGTATATGTCTAAAAAGAAGAAAAAAAATCGATATGTTAATAGGTTTTTTTAATAAGAAAAAAATATTATAGATTTTTAAGTAAACCAAAATGTAAAAAAACATTAAGATTAAATGACAAAATGAATATGCATGGGGTCAAAGACATGAATATATCACATAACATAGGGGTCATTGTGAATACTTTAACCCAAAACATATAATTATTGTAGAAGATTACCTTATAATTAAAAAAAATCTAAAAATGTTATGGGGGTCAACTGACCCCCCTAGTTGTACGTTGCCTCCGCCACTGGCTTCACTGCGTAATTAACATCAGAGTAAACCATAAAGATGTCCAAAAAGTAATCCATCATCTTCCACTTGTTTGATCTGAAGTAGATCCTTTCTTAGCTAAAAACTAAGGAGGATGACCAACCACTGGATAAAACCGGACCCCCTTATCATTGCAACATTGTCTAGTGTTTCTCTCAATTGTAGCTTAATTTTAACAGATTTCATAGTGAATTATCTGCTGATATCATCTTATTTGGATCATTTAAAAATGCAACACAGCTTCAATATTTTTCTAGACGGAAACGTAATGTCTTTGTGTCTGAACAAGTACTAGTAGAACACAAATAATTAATCATCGGTCTTGCAATGTTTTTTAATTAGTAATAATGAGAAATATCAAATCACGATGAGCCAAATCTGTTCACTTTTGCTCACGTTATTCGAGATTCATGCATCGTCTTGAGAATTGTATCTCTTTTCTAGGAAGAAACACATTACATAATGGAAGTTATTACTCAAATATGTACTAGCACTTTTACCAAAAAAAAAAAAAATATGTACTAGCTTTTCTTCAACAGTACTGGAGACTAAATCTCAAATAAGTATTGCCGTATTTTAGTTTCTATTTTTCATGTTCTGCAGTTTGTTTCCCAGAAGGCTTGGTCGTATCAATGTCGAAGATAGTAGAGAGTAAATCAACACTTTCTTATCCTAGTACTTCACATTTTGGCGATTTTGACACTGATGAAACCGTGAACATAAACGGTTTTTGGATTTGCCGATCACAGGTAAGCATCACATCAATCAACTTTGATTTTGTTTCTAGGAAAAAAATATATAAAGTTTTTGTCTTTTAAAAAAAGTAAAATAATATTCTTCAGGTTCAACATTAGAAAAGATGTAAAACGAATCGTTTGGTTTCCATTAATATTTTGTACAGTTAGGTCAAGCAAAGCTAATCTTTAAAGAACATCCAGAGACGGCTTCAAATTTTTGTCTAAAGAGTTTCTTTGCCAAGGAAACTTACTTGACTGCCCTTTTAAACCTCATCGACAAGATGAACATGTTATCTCTACAATCTCTCTCCAAAGACGATCTAAAGGAAGTAGACAACACAATTTTGGATCTTGAAGCCGCTGGTTTCAAACTGGATTGGTTAAAAAAGAAATTTGAGGAGATTCGTGTTATTGTGAAGAAAGCGCAGGACCGTGAGGCTCGGATGAGAGAACTAGACCGAAAGATCCGTAAGAAGATGCATGAGTTGGTGGTTCTTGAAGACAAAATGAAGAAGGAGCAGCTTGAGGCTAAATCCGAAGAACTTGGATATTATTACGACTTTTTTATTTGAAGGAAGTTGCATGTGATTCTTGTGAACCAAATACTCGTAAACACAAAGATGAAAAGTCTATTGCTTTCAAGCTTTCATTGTTTGAGAAATTTTCCATTTGGTTTAAGGGTTTTCTTTTTCTCTCCATGGTAAAGAGAGAGCTTACGAATCATTGCACAAGTATCGAAGAAGTTTGTCAGATCTAGTTATATAGTTGTCTTTTTTTTTTTTTTAGATATGATTTTGATGTAAAAAATGGTAACAAATTGCATTTCTCAAATGTGTAGAGACAGAAAGAGAAACAAAAAAAAAAAGAAAATTGATTGATTTTGTTCAACATTTGTTGCCAAAGGTAGACCTTGAGTTTGTGGTCCTATGTATCCAATAACAACAATGAGGCGATCTGCCCCTAGTTAATATAAAACAAGGCAGTACTTGCCCCTAGCATCGTATCTAAAACAAAGTATTGGGAGAACCGGAGATCGACCGAGATCGACGATCGAGATGATCGCCCAAGATTATGGGAATCATGAAGATCGAGAAGGATCTAGAAGATTATCATAAATTAGTTTAGGAATATTTACATTTATCTTTAAAGTATTATTCACATTTATATTTATCTTAAATTAGGAAACTTAGATTAATCTCATCTCTATATAAGAGAATGTATTTTGTATTTATTCTTATGAGAGTCTATTATAATTCTTCCTAAACACTTTTGTGTTCTTACTCTCATCAATTTATCATGGTAGCAGAGCCAAGATCCTTTCTGTGGATTTTGGATCCGTTACGTTAGCTTCCGCAAAGAAAAAAAAAAATCAGTTTCGGGAACAATGATGTTTTCTCGCCCTCGCGAGTTTAACTTCTCTTTTTGATTAAACTACTCGCCCTCGTGAGTTATTTTTTTTTAGTCTCACCATCGCGAGCAACATCCGAACCTCGCAACCGCGGGTGTTATTTTTATTACTTGAACCCTACGATCGGGTATAAACGTCGATGACCTAACGGCTGGATTTTGTGGCCGCTTTGAACCCTACGATCGGGTATAAACGTCGATGACCTAACGGCTGGGTTTTATAGCCGCCTTGAACCCTACGATCGGGTATAAACGTCGATGACCTAACGGCTGGGTATTGTAGCCGCTTTGAACCCTTCGATCGGGTATAAACGTCGATGATGACCTGACGACCGGGTATAAAAGCCGTTATTCTGAAGACTTGTCCAATCTCAAACGTGTAACCACGTATGAGCTTGTCGGGGGGTATTGGGAGAACCGGAGATCGACCGAGATCGACGATCGAGATGATCGCCCAAGATTATGGGAATCATGAAGATCGAGAAGGATCTAGAAGATTATCATAAATTAGTTTAGGAATATTTACATTTATCTTTAAAGTATTATTTACATTTATATTTATCTTAAATTAGGAAACTTAGATTAATCTCATCTCTATATAAGATAATGTATTTTGTATTTATTCTTATGAGAGTCTATTATAATTCTTCCTAAACACTTTTGTGTTCTTACTCTCATCAATTTATCACAAAGGCCTGACGTTGAAGACCCAGATGTTGTGGTCCTATGTATCCAATAACAACAATGAGGCGATCTGCTCCTGTCCAATTATCCCACCAAAACATTGATGATTCACCATGAGAAGCAGCCAATGACCTCAGCTTGAGGAGTTTTCTCCAAATATATGAGCCTATGGTTCCTTCGCGAACACTCCAAAATGATATACGTTGGAGAATAGATATCGACGAGCCCAAGGTACCCCGTACCCATAAAGAACCTGAGGCAGTGAACTTAGTGCAAAAGATAAAACTATGACTGGAACCGATATATAATTGAGATATACGAATAATATTCTCTCTCTTATCCAGCCTAACCCTATCGAACCCTATAAAGCTTCAATTGCTTTCGATGAGTCTCACAACCAAGACTTCATCTCTATATAATAAAAGCTTAAAAACAAACACCATAGGAAAAGGAAATAAAACCTTAAAGACGTAAACAGTTTCCTAAATCAATAATATAAATCCTGAATAAAAAAAAAAACCGATCCAAATAAAAGAAAACATATTATTGACGACCGCTTGAAGATTATAGTCTCGGCTAGATTTTGTCGGTGATATGCGTTTCCAAAGAAATTATTTCACCATCCACAATTGCTTCATTTTCTACAAGCATCACATTCGAAGAGATTTGTAGGAACAATTATGAAAAGGAGAGTATGATTTGCTTGTGGATACATAATCCTTTTGCCTTTACATGAAGGCTTCATGTAAAGATATTCGTGATGAGAATTTTGCCGTGTACCCCTTTATCTAAAGGTGTTGCTTGGACATATGGTAGGGTTGTACTCATATTGGTCTCTAATCATATTGAACTAGCACTATCTGTAGAAAACAAGAGGAGGCTAGGTTTAGAAGAATGTTTTTCTTTCTTATTGATTCATACGATTACATCACGTTCTATATATACAAAAAGATACTAGGTTAAATAACTTGGAGATCAAGTTATTCTTTACAAGATATTCTCCTAAATATATTCATTAACAAATATATGGATATATCCCAATACTCTCCCTCAAGTTGGAGCATGAAGATCACAAATGCCCAACTTGGACGATAAACCTTCAAACGGAATGCGACCCAAAGCTTTAGTAAGCAAATCGGCTAATTGATCATGAGTGTTGACATGAATCATAGTAAGCATTCCGTTCTGAACAGCATCACGAACAGCATGGCAGTCTCTCTCAATGTGCTTAGTACGCTCGTGAAAAACCGGGTTGTTGGCAATATGAATAGCAGCTTGACTATCGTAAAACAACTCAATCGGTTTCGGTTGCGGATATCCCAAATCTTCTAACAATTGTTTCCACCACCGGACTTCATTTAAAGCATTGCGCATTGACCGATACTCGGCTTCAGCGGAAGAATGAGAGACGACATCCTGTTACTTTGTCTTCCATGAGACTGGAGAGCCACCTAAAAACATCACATAGCCACTCAACAAACGTCTAGACGTTGAACAAGTAGCAAAATCAGAGTCACAATAAGCCGTGAGTGTAAGGTCAGAATCCGAGCTAAGTAACACACCACGGCCCGGAGAGCCTTTTAAATAACGCACAACACGGAGCGCAGCATTCCAGTGATCAATACGCGGAGATTGCATAAACATTGACAAGATGTGAACCGAGTAGCTAAGCTCAGGACGAGTGGTAAGAAGATAAATCAAACGACCAACTAACCTTTGATACTCCTCCGGATGAGAAAGAAGCTCACTCGTGTTCAGCTCCAATTTATGATTTTGCTCAATTGGAGTAGGGGAAGGTCGGGAATGAAGAAGACCGGCCTCAGTGATGATATCAAGTGCATATTTTCGTTGAGAGTGATAAATGCCTTCGGAACTCCTTGCAATTTCAATCCCAAGAAAATATTTGGCTTTGCCTAAGTCTTTCATATGAAAACACCTTCCCAAATAATCTTTAAAACTTTGAATCATCCGTGAATTGTTGCCACAAATCAACAAGTCATCAACATATATCAAAACCCGCAGGTCAACTCCTGCACGCGAGAGTGTAAAGAGTGAGTAGTCCGAATATGATTGCACAAAGCCAAACTTTGTCAAAGCAGAAGAAAGCTTCGCAAACCAACAACGAGGAGCTTGCTTAAGCCCATATAACGATTTATGTAGGCGCAGAACTTTCTTAGAATCCGAATGACGAAAACCAACTGGTAGTTTCATATAAACTTCTTCATCCAAATCTCCATGGAGAAATGCATTGTGCATATCCATTTGGTGTACTTCCCATTTTTCAGCCGCCACAATACGCAACAAACCACGAACCGTCTTCATCATAATAACAGGAGCAAATGTCTCATTGTAGTCCTTCCCCTCAACTTGACGGTTTCCACAAGTGACTAAACGAGCCTCATAGCGCTCAACCGTACCATCAGCATGCAACTTGATTTTATAAACCCACTTGTTATTTATAGCCTCTTTTCCCGGAGGTAAATCGACAATACTCCAAGTACCACTGTCTTCTAGAGCCCCAACCTCCGTGCCCATAGCTTTTGTCCAATGAGGATCAAGCATGGCTTGTTTATAAGAGGTCGGTTCGACGCCATCAAGAACAGCAGCTAAGAAAACTTTATGCTGTGGAGAGAACATGTCATCAGAAATATAACTAGTGAGAGGATACGAAGTGTTACCTTGGACCGAAGACGAGGAGACTGAATTATGTTCGGGAGAGACGAGATGGGGTTCTTCGGGGCAGCGAGTAGCATGATCAACATAATCTTTTAACCAAACTGACAGAAACTTAGCTCTTTTTCCTTGACCCAAATCTTCATTTTCTGTTGTTGGTACTGAAGTGGTAGGCGTGGACTCCTCCGATAATGCCTCCGGTGAAGAACACGGAGAGGAAGTCGTCGTGGCCAAGCTCATATCAGCACCATTGTCGTGTGACGAAGATGATGGGTTATGTAAAACAGGTTCATTTTGAGGCTCACTCCCCCTGTCTTCAAGAGTAGGTGATAGATCAATAACCCAATCCTCATCAACACCCGCATACGTAACTAGTTCCTCAACCAAATTTACTGAATATGGAAAAATATTTTCTTGAAACACCACATCTCGCGACACCAAGAACTCATTTGTTTCCATGTCATAGACTTTCCAGCCTTTCTTTCCAAATGAATAGCCCATGAACATACATTTCCGACTTCTCGGTCCAAATTTATCTTTGTCTCTCAAGCGCCTGTGAGTGTAGCACAAAGAATCAAAGACCCGTAGTTGGTCATAGGATGGTGAGACGCCATGAAGTAGTTCATACGGAGTCTTCCCGTTAAGCACTTTTGACGGAGTCCTATTTATAAGATATGCAGCCGTTAAGATAGCTTCTCCCCAAAAAATAACCGGCAAATTGGCTTGAAAAAGAAGAGACCGAGCAACATTTAAGATATGGCGATGTTTCCTCTCAACGCGTCCATTTTGTTGAGGAGTGTCAACACACGAAGTTTGATGAACAATACCATTTTCTTTGAAATAAGAAGAAAGACACATGAACTCCGTTCCATTGTCACTTC